CTATATACGACTTCAAACTCATTCCAAGCTATAAATACAAGCTGAGGACACTTGAAGAAGTAAGAGAACAACTATCCAAGCAATCAACACAAGAGAATAGTTTTTCAATTTATTTCATCTTTCTCTTGTAAATATTTTTCTTGTGAGCTCAATCTTGTAAACACCTACCTTAGAGAGGTTTTCTTGTTTACACTTATTATCCTTTTGTAAAGGGGAAAGGTTCTAGCTTAGCCCGTGTAAAAGCTAGGGAAAGGTTCTAGTTTAGCCCGGAAAAACTAGGGAGTTGTAAGGTTATCTCTTTGTCCTCAAAAGAAAGAACAAATTAGTGAATTTGTTGGAAAATCCTTGGTGAGGAGCTAAGGTAGTGGATGTAGACTTTGGTTGATAAAGTCGAACCACTCTAAATCGCTGTGCAATTTTCTATCTTTCAATCTCCTTACTCCCTAAACACAAAACCATTCCGACCCCTCTTTGCAAACCGTTTCGGTTGTCGATTTGAGCTTCCGAAAATCCTAACAATTGGCATCAGAGCCTAACTCGTTAAGAAGGTTTAACCACCTTGAGACGATCCTCGAAGAAGCTCTACCAATTCCCGACACAACCGAGAAGATGACCTCCACCTCCGGCTCGTTCCACATGGAAGACTCCCTACCAACGGACAAGCCTCCATACTTCAATGGAGACAACTATCATCATTGGAAGAAATTAATGAAGGTATTCATCCAATCCAATGATCTTGATGTATGGGAGATAATCGAGAATGGCTACTCTTCTCCAAAGAAGAAGGAGAAGAAGCGGAGTGACAAAGAACGGAAGAAAGCTCAACTTAATGCCAAGGCCATGCACATGTTGTTTTGTGCATTTGGTCCTGAAATCTATGAAGGGATTTCTTCATGTTCAAGTGCCAAGGAGCTTTGGAATAAGCTCGAGGAAATCCATGGAAACAAGAAAGAAGAACCACAAAGGTGGTGTCTCTAATGGCTTAGAAGAGCCCGAGGTATCTTCTAACTCAAATGATTTAATTCATATACATTTGATGAGTTACAAGATGCTTTTAATAGGTTATATTCGGAGTTTGAGACCATGAACTCCAAATATAAGAAAATGATTCAAAATTTAAAATTGAAAACGATTTTCTTTTGAAAACAAAATAGATTTTGAAAGCCAAAATGAAATTTTGAAAAAGGATTTAGAGCTTTCAAAAATAAAAATTGATAGTTTTGAAAAACAAAATTTTGATTTAGAAGTTAAGCTTGAAGGCTTAACAAAAGAAAAAGAATTAATTTCTAAAAATAACCTATTATGTGTAAAAATGGCAAAATGCTCACATTGCCATTTTCATGGTCATTTGGAACATACTTGTCCTTTTGAAGAAAGGAAAACATTTTAAAATTAGACAAGTATGGGTTCCGAAAGGAACAAGGGGCATTGAAACTAACGTCCAAGGATCCAAGTAATTTGGATACCAAATCGAAATGAATGTCTCTTGTAGGTGTGTGTGAGCAATGGTGATGAAGATGATGATATTCAAGATGCTCTAGCCACACATGAAAAAGGAATGGGTAACCTCTAAGCTTAATGCTTTTAATTTTGGTTGTTTGGTTGCTCATTTAATTTTAAGCATGCATGAGTTTTGATTTAAGTAATTATGTATTATTTTTAATCTCATGTATGTTAAAAAGAAATTATGATGAACATTTTAATGTCTTAATAATTTTTCAAAATTTTTAGTTCATCATAAAAATTTTGGTCAAAATTGGTTGTAATGCAATTGATATCTCTCTAACAATTGATATCAATTTTTCAAATACTTGATTTTACAAATTTTAAAAATTTTTGACCTAAATTTGGAAAACTTTATGCGTATGCACTTAATTTTAACAATTGGTATTAATATCAAATTTCAACAATTGGTATTGCATAAAGTATTTTAGACTTAGATATATTGAATTTCATGTGCCTCTAACATGTTTGTTATTATTTGTAGAAATTCAATATTTTGTTTAAGTGTCATTTATTCAGGGGGAGTTTTTGATTTTTCAAATGATTTTTAAAATGTCAAATTTACTACTTACTCTCCAAAGTTATTTTGAACTCAAAGATTGAATTATTTTTGATATAACAAAAAGGGGGAGAGGTTATGGTTTGAAAAATTCAATTTCTTAATGACAGGAGAAAAGGGGGAGCTTAACATTTTTCATATGTTTCCACAAACTAGTATCTTTTTTCATTAAACATTTTACTAAGGGGAGTTTTGTCAAAACATTTTTCAAATGTTTTGTTATATCAAAAAGGGGGAGATTGTTGAACTATGTTTCGATATAACAATTTAAGGCAAAATAGTTTTTTGGACTTGAATTGAATTTACAAAATGTTTTTGGACTTAATTGAATTTATTCAAAGTTTTTAAAAGGTTTTAAAAATATTCAAATCAATTAAATTCGGATTTGAGCCAAAAATATTTTAAGGGATTTTCAAGATTGCCCAGGGGGTATAGATTCCCCCCCCAGGGGGTACAGTACCCCGGGTACAATACCCCCCCAGGGTACAGATACCCCCTGCAGGTTTTTGCCTCCGAGAAAAACAGAATGTCCAGGGGGTATCGATTCCCCCCCAGGGTGTATGATTCCCCCCCTGTTCAACAGCCCAACGGTCATAATATTTGAATATTATGAAGGGTATCGATTCCCTATGAAGGGGTAACCGATTCCCCTCTATTCTGGGCAACCTTTTTGAATATAAAAATCATCCCCAAACGGCTCCAAAACATCCCCAACGGCTATATACGACAAACTCATTCCAAGCTATAAATACAAGCTGAGGACACTTGAAGAAGTAAAGAACAACTATCCAAGCAATCAAACACAAGAGAATAGTTTTTCATCTTATTTCATCTTTCTCTTGTAATATTTTGTTCTTGTGAGCTCAATCTTGTAAACACCTACCTTAGAGAGTTTTCTTGTTTACACTTATTATCCTTTTGTAAAGGGGAAAGGTTCTAGCTTAGCCCGTGTAAAAGCTAGGGAAAGGTTCTAGTTTAGCCCGGAAAAACTAGGGAGTTGTAAGGTTATCTCTTTGTCCTCAAAAGAAAGAACAAATTAGTGAATTTGTTGGAAAATCCTTGGTGAGGAGCTAAGGTAGTGGATGTAGACTTTGGTTGATAAAGTCGAACCACTCTAAATCGCTGTGCAATTTTCTATCTTTCAATCTCCTTACTCCCAAGGTTATCTCTTTGTCCTCAAAAGAAAGAACAAATTAGTGAATTTGTTGGAAATCCTTGGTGAGGAGCTAAGGTAGTGGATGTAGACTTTGGTTGATAAAGTCGAACCACTCTAAATCGCTGTGCAATTTTCTATCTTTCAATCTCCTTACTCCCTAAACACAAAACCATTCCGACCCCTCTTTGCAAACCGTTTCGGTTGTCGATTCGAGCTTCCGAAAATCCTAACATATACCTTCATAACATAATAAAAAATCAACTATGTTAATTTACCACTAATATTAAAACGTTTAAACAATTACGGATTTAAAGTTCTAAATGACAATTTATCAACCTGATAATTGAACAACGGGCCCTTTGCGCAATCAATCAAGACAATAATTCTTAATAAAAACAGAAGATATATAAATAGCGAAAAAGTAAAAGAATAATGAAAATTATTTAGATCTCACAATCCTTGAAGAGCCAAAGCTTCAATTATCTTTCAGTTGGAACAAAAGTATTTAGCTACTCATAATTGAAAGAACACCAAAAGAAAATAAAGATGAAGTTTGAAAATAATCTTAGAGAAAAACTTAATGAAAACTTAATGCCCCTATGAAATCCCTAGCTCCCCTTTTATAAGGACTTCCCTATTCTAGATAAGGAAGTTTATTAAAAGTAAATCCCACAAAATAGGGGTTTTAAATATCCTCATATTTTTCTAAAGATAAGAATAATTCAAAAAAATCTTTCAGTCATCATTAAACTCTTTTTCCCTTATAAATTTGTAACTTTGATTTAGGGTTGTATGGACTGGTAAGGTGCACCCACGCCTTAGCTGAAGTCTTCTTCTGCGACAGCTCAGGATGAATAAGCTGTGCCCATGCCTTATGCGAAAACCTCTTCTGGTCTTGCCAACTTCTTGAATTTTGATTTTTCCTCCTTAATTTGGTGATTTCGTGAATATAATCCTATTCATTGGATTTTGGACTTGTTTAATCCAAATCTTCAACCTAATCCACAAAATACGAAATATAATCAAAATCCATTATTTAAGCAATTTTAATTATTCAAATATGAGGAAAATAACATAGAATATATGACTAATATGCATCTTATCAAATAGATTAATCTACTAAAATTAGATTATTTATCTTTTAAATAATATTTAAATTTTTATTTTTGTTGTTATAAAAAATATTTTATTATATCTTTTATAGAATTTAATTTAAATTATTTAATGTAGATTATTATAAAAATATATATAAATAAATAAAATAAAAGATGAAAAATCTGCTTGATTTTGGATATGTCATTTACGTTAGTAGATAGTATTTTCACATCGTTTGATTCTGATTTATCGTATATCGATAGTTTTTTAATAGATTTTTTTGTGTGGTTCGTTTGCCGATGTAGTCAGATATATTCGTATTTAACACTTGTTTGAGTTTATTTAGTTAGATTTTTTAACTTTATTTGTGTGATATTAAGTGATTATTTTTTTTGTGTTTAAGTATTATTATTATATGTTTAGTTTACAATTTTGGTTGTAAACCTTCATTATAATTTAAATATTTTTTATTTTTAATAAAATTATAAATTTTTATAAAAAAAAATCTTACTTGCTGTCAAATAATAACAATAAATCTAAATTATTAAAAAATATTTATATTATTTAGAAGACACATTACCTAAATTTTTAATGGGATAAAATAAAAAATAAAAAAATCCTGAAATTTAAATATTGTATTTATATTTGGTAATATTTTATGACAAAATTTTGAAGCAACACAAAAATGGGGGAATAGGTGAATCAAGTCATTTGGTCGTCTCGCTGCCACCAAAAAATCCAACCCACGAAAAGCGCATCGTGCAGAGCAGGCTTACCCTCGTCGCCTTCTTCCCTTTAAACGACGCTCTCTTCTCTCTCTCTCTCTACTGTTCTAGAATCCAAGATCCCTGAGAATCCGCAATTGTCTCATGGCGCTAATCAGCCCTACCTCAAAAACCTAGTCCCTAGAACCCCTCTTTCCTCCTTTCCTTTTCGGTTTTATTAAATATATTTTATTATTTGTTTCGTTTTAAGAATTTAATTCGTGGAGTGGAGTGGAGTGGAATGGATGGAGTGAGTAGCGGTAGCAACATCCAAAACGATGCATCGACGAGCGGCGGTGGAACCCAAACGCCAACGCAACCTCAACCAACGCCGCAGCCGGTGGCGGTGGCGGTGCAGAGTGCGAACGCGCCCCCGCCTTTCTTGAGCAAGACTTACGATATGGTAGATGATACCGCCACCGACGCCATCGTTTCTTGGAGCCCAACCAACAATAGCTTCGTTGTTTGGAACCCGCCGGAGTTCGCTCGGGATCTTCTGCCCAAGTATTTTAAGCACAACAACTTCTCGAGCTTTGTCAGGCAACTAAACACCTATGTACTGCAAGTTTTCTTGTTTGTTATTTCCTTTACCTGTCGCTCTATTGTTTTAACTTATACAGTTTTGTCGAGCGTTTTCTGTTTTAGATTTACTTGTGAAATATACGATTTCCTTCTTGATGATAAGGTTTGACTGTGGATTTGAAACTGTTCCCAATCGAGTTAAATACATTGGAAGTGGTTGGCTCAAATCCATTGAAGTCATTGCTGAGGTGGTTTTGGAAAACAACCATCATGGAGGATAATTTTTAGAAATCTTTTATATCAAATTAAATTTAGGATTATTGGTAGTTGGCGGCAAATGACTGTTCTAACTTGGGCTCTAGGCCAGGGATTTAGCCAGCTAGGATTTTGAGGTAATCAATTTGTGAAGAACTAAGGAACATATACGCTAAGCTATATTATTATTATTTTAGTTGCTTTGGTTTCCGAAAACAGGATTAGGATCCTGTTCAGGGTTTTAAATAGTATTCATGGTAATGTTTTCGGTCGCTTCGCGTTTATCACGGTTGCGGATATAACGAATGCAGATATCGCGATCGTGAATTTTTTTCGAATAAGCTGATTTTTTAATAAAAAAAACCTGTTTTTTTATTAAAAAAAATTAAAATAACGGAATAGCAATCCACTATTGCCGCGATTGGCCGTGATCCGTTAAATTGCGGCCGCAATCCGCCACTATTGGTGTGATCCCGCTTCACATTGTTATTTTCCGCGATAGCGGTTTCGGACACCGTCGCGACTGCGATATAACGGTCGCGACACCATTATTCGGCCGCTATTTGAAACCTGGATCCTGTCTGAACTAACTATGATGTTTGTACTGGGGATTTGATGGATGCCATTGCTCCCATGTCATGAAATTGTTTTTTGAGTGTTTTAACTGTGCTTCTTCCTGGATTTTCTCAGCAACTAAATGGAGCACAAAGGGGAAATTGGGAAAAAGAAAGCAGATCAATGTTGTTCATGACTTGGTTACAAGGTTGTCGAAGGATAGTTACTTCTATTTCTCTTTGTCTGTTGCTACTAGTTTAAATGACTCTTAACCAAAGGTAATTTAGTATTAGATGTAAAGACACTGGTGCATAAAACGTGTCACTTAGATAAACTAAACTAAACGGGTCAGATCCGATAATCCAACATAAGATTGGATATGACCATCAATGTTGGGTGAAAACTTACTAACAGCACAGACATATTTGCTCTGCTTGTTATGGAGGATGGAAAAGCTTGGAGCTGGAAAATTTGTTAATATAATGGTTAAGCACTAAAGTAGGAAAGTGGTTATCAATGTTAATCATTTGATGATTTGATTAACAAAAATTTCCATCCTTCATACCAAGTAGAGCACTAATGCAAATATTCAGACTTGTCCCTTATATGTGTTTGAGCTCGACAGATTTGAGAAATCTGGTTTCTGGGCTTTTTCTCAGGGATTAGGCTTTGAGTACTGTGGATTTAGGTCTCAAAATGTAGTGGTAGAATTTCAGTCTTTTATACTGAAATGGAATCTAATTTGTTTCATACTAAGGTCAATAAATTACCAAAAACAATGGATATGTTGCAGGTAAGAAGAACCAAGCGGTAAGATTTTCGTATTTGTGATGTGAGGGAAATTAAATCATCAGTATTTTTTGCATTGTTCTTGTTAGATAAATTGTTCAATGGAAGAATCTTAAGTGTGGTTCAGGTGAAAGTTGTGTGATTGAATAATAGTTCACTCTTGATCAATAATCATAGACTCATGCTGGTACTCTAATCCAGTACCCACTTGACTGAGGCTAGCATGTATTACTTGCAAAAGACATCTATTTGTAGTGTTAGAAAATGACAATTTAATATTCTAAGATCTCAGTCTAAATTCTTTTATTGATTGTTCTGCCATAACTCTTTAAAAGTTGAAGAATTAGTCAATAAGTGAAATCTTTATTGAAATCTTTATTACTGCTAAATATGCAATTCTCAAATTGTATGCGTATTTTTTATGTACTTTGCATGCATATTCACAATTTCACATGCATTTAATGTAGATGTGCATCATAGATACTCTGAACACGCATGATCCTAGGTGTGTGACTTGATTGTCATTCTATCAGAATGTTTGTGTCAAATTTTTATATTATTGTCTGGATTTGATTGTATTTTTTGCCGACTCCTCCACGGATTTCCTTGGGAGTGGGATATTTATCACTTTGGCATGATCCTACGGTCCTACCATGGGCATTGCTTTATGTTTATTGCATTATCCTTCACGGATGTCCTTTCGACTGAGATATATGTTACTTTTGGCATCTTCAATTGGGCATTGCATTTAATCGCTTTCTTGTACTCAATATGGTTGAAATTAGTTGACTCCAGCTGCCACCTTCTACTTGAGCTTCATTGTATTAGTTTCTTTTGAGGTGTACTCTAGTTGAGTCAACTTTAACCAGCATAAGGCAGTGTGCATTTTCCCCAATATTGGCTCCATTTACCTGAAAAAGTTCAAAGAATAGGGCTTGAGCTTATTTATTTAAACTAGTTCCTAAAGTAGAGTATACCTATTGCTGCCACCTTCTGCCATCATTCCTTCGGATTTGGGAATTGGGGAAAATGTACACTGCCTCAAGGAAAACTTTTTCTAAGCTGGCTCTTCTTGAATTTGTATTGTGCAATGTACATTTTCCCCAACCTTGCTCCATTTACCAGAAAAAGTTAAAAGAATATGGCTTTAGCTTATTTGTTTAAACTAGTTCCTAAATTATCAAGACACTGCTGGAAAAGATGGATGTCTGTACCCTTCTTCCATCATTCTGTTGGGAGTTGGGACCAGTATTTATGTAAAAAAAATTTATTCAGCGACAGTTCTGTTGATTTTTCTGATTTCTCCATATATTTGTGCTTGTGTTTTAACAGGGTTTCAGAAAGGTTGATCCAGACCGTTGGGAATTTGCAAATGAGGAGTTTTTAAGAGGACAGAAACACCTGCTTCGGAACATAAGCCGGCGAAAGCCTGCCCATGGCCATGGTAATCAGCAGACATCGCAAGGACAGAGTTCATCTGTGAGTGCCTGTGTTGAGGTTGGGAAATTTGGGCTCGAGGAAGAGTTAGAGAGGCTTAAGAGAGACAAGAATGTGCTTATGCAAGAACTTGTTAGGTTAAGGCAGCAGCAACAGGCTACTGATAACCAGATGCAGAATATGGTGCAACGTCTTCAGGGGATGGAACAGAGGCAGCAGCAGATGATGTCATTTTTGGCGAAGGTTATGCAGAGCCCTGGTTTTTTTGCTCAATTTGTGCAGCAGCAAAATGAGAGCAATAGGCGCATAACTGAAGCCAACAAGAAAAGGAGGCTAAAGCAGGATGGTAACACTTCCTCGGCCTCCGATGGGCAGATTGTTAAATATCAACCTTTGATGAATGAGGCGAAAGCAATGCTCATGCGGATCATGAAAGGGGATGCTTCTCCCATACTGGACTCCTTTAACAACAATAATGAACATATCATGTTAGGCGACTGTTCATCATCGTCTAGTGGATTGGACGGCAATGGGAACAGTTCAACCCATGTATCAGGGGTGACTCTTCAAGAGGTGCCACCAACATCAGGTCAGTCAACATTTGTACCAACAACTTCGGGTATTTCAGGGCATCGTCCCTCAGCTGCCATATCTGAAATACAATCCTCCCCATGTACGACATCCTATGAAAAGATCACAACAGCGCCATTTATAGATGTGAGTGCGCTGGTTGGAGCAGAAAAGCCTCCATCTATGTCTGCTACTCAGACGGATATAATTATGCCCGAGCTTGGTCAAATACCGGAAATGGTCCCAGAAAGCATTGTTGATATTCCTACTGAAACTGGGAATGATGGATTGGTTGATCCCACTGCATTGGCTGGAAATGGTCTGGTACCATTGGAACTTGACGACATTGTTTCTGATCCAGACATAGATGCCTTGCTAGATGGCTCTACATTTTGGGATGACCTTTTGCAAAGTCTGGCACCAGAGGATATTGAATCAACCTCGATGGACGGTAAAAACAAGGAAGATGAAGAGCAGCCAATGGACGATGGATGGGACAAAACTCAGAATATGGATCAGCTTACAGAACAGATGGGTCTTCTTAGATCAGATAACAAGAGGGTCTAATCTTTTGATGTAGTTCATTGATTGGAGTTAAACCTGAAAGTTATATTTTTTTTCCGACATGATCCTTTAATTTTGGGCATTGGAAAACGATGAATCCTTTAATTATCTGTGTTGTTCTCACACGTATAGACATTGTTTTCTGCTTTTGTTACTTCACTTCAGCTTTTGTCAGTCAAATTTGGTAATCGGAGGTTTATTGAGCATTGATATCAAGTGGTTGAACCTCCTATTTTCTCGCATTTCGCAATTGAACTCTTAATTTTAGAAGCACACTTCTAATTAACGATTAACTCACAAAATAGGGTGTTTTGTTACCTGAATGCAAAACACATCGTTTTAAGACATGTTAGCTTAAGAACTTACAGATCCATTATTTACTATCAACTGAACTTTGCAACTTCTGATCTCCGGCGACAGTCTCTCCATTAGCGGCGTTTCTGTTCACCATGGGTCCGACATCCCCATACATTGAAAGCCTCTCCGACCTTGACAAACTATCCGGTGATGTTTGGTCGCTAGGATTGGTGCTCTTAGAATGTTTTGTCGGCCATTATCTGTTGATTGGTCCCGGGGAAACGCCTGATTGGGCTGCATTGGTGTGTGCCATATGCTTCGGAGAGATGCCGGAGACGGCTTCCCCGGATTTTAGAAGCTTTGTGGGGAGGTGTTTGGAGAAAGAGGAACGGCGGATGAGCTTCTGATCACCCTTTTGTGAATTGGAGCTTTTGAAGGATTCATGGAGTCTCTTCTTCAATTTCGCTAGAAAAACAGAAAAATATCGTTTTCAAGTTTTGGGTTTTCTCCTCCATAATTAAACCTTTCTGGGTTTTCAAATATTCGGAGAATGAATTGGATAAGTTGCAGTGAACTAAAAGCTTATTTCAAAGAACTGCACATTTCCGACCTGCAAGGAACTATGCGCATGACGAATAATAATGGCCACTGGTGCTCTAAAAACAAGACCTTTCTTCAAAGCCGGCGAGAACAAATAAAGAAACCAGAGAGGAGAAATAGAAGAATGACAGAGAAAGCAGAAAGATGAAGAGTGACATTTTAGATGAAGGAATTTAAGAATTCTCTCCTCACATTGTCTTAGGTCTTAGCAAAGAAAATAAGTTCTCTAAACAAGTTTACAAACATAAACCAAATAAACCAACCCTTTCGATTTTAAAATGGTAAATTGAATTTTACTGCTTTTACGGGTATGGACAATGGAGCATTTGGGCCTTAGTTACGCCCAAATATCTGTTCTTTGATTTTATATTGTCCTCTAATCTGGGTTGCTCTTCTTCCTCTTCCAAAATTGATTTGGCTCAGTCACAAACATTAAGAGCTTGGCGATTGATTGCTTCTGCTAGAAACTCAAAAGAAAAATCAAGGTCAGCTCTTTTTTTTCTCTCTCAAGTTTTTTTTTATGATTAATCTGAGAAAAAAAATGTGGATCCAAGTCAGGGCAATATGGCGCATCACAAAGGCATCGCTTCCTGTACGTGAGATTAGCATCGAGTTTGATTCTTTGAATTTGGATGGCTTTTGGGATATTATTGGATAAAAGTTGCGATTGTGCCGATATCTGACCGAAAACCAGTACATCCCCCATAAATTGTCCCACCGGGAATGAATTAAGTTTCATTCTAATAAATAAGCATCTCAGTTTTTTTGTGAATAATCTCAAGTTTCTTTCTAAGTATTGATAAGCTTTGGGTTGGGTTGATTTTGATAATTTGGATCATTATTCTTGTTTATAATGGAATTGTTCAACTTGTTTTCTGGGAATGAAGAGGAACATTTTAAATTACGGAAACTGATCCTTATTTATTGCAAGATTGATAGATCCTATTAGATTCTGCTTCAATCTTTTCAGACTTCTCGTTTTCTTTGCAGAAAGCATTTAATTTGAAGTAGAAAGTGTTCTTCCATGTGATTGTCAAGTAATTTGTCGCCCCATTTTGTTACTTCCATTCTATTACTCAATGTCAACCCCACAATGTAATCGGTTATGCCTGCATCAGAAACTGGCAATCTTGTGGATTTTCTTTTCTGGTGCCATCGTCTCTTCAAGTGAGGTTAGTCGGCATCATCTAATTCAACTCTTTATTTCTGCTGCAATCTTCTCCGATACTTGAGCCAAAGAGTTGAGTTTCAATGAGTTTGGCATTCTTAATTTTCAGGTCAAAACAAGCCAGCCATCAGATTCCCAGAACTCAGATGATGGGAAATATATAATGAGATCTTATTTTGACAACCACGAGAACCTTCATGATTCAAGTTTTGAAAATTTTATGACACGTGAACTTTCTTCCAGTTTGTGTATAGTGAATCCCGAAAACCAGAATCGTGGCGTGAGGCTATCAGTGCGAGAGCTCTCTCTGAACGGAGAAGGTTCTCATCGACAATTATCTTTGTCTATCAGATTGCAGACTGGGGAAGAGTCCATTCCTGAATTACCTCCTCATAAATGTGAAGTTATAGTTATACAAAGACTACCCCTTGGAGTATTTGCTGACCCGTTTGAGCTTCAGAATCTTCACAAGCGGATGGGTAAACCAGCGATTGATTTTCCTTATCATAGAAAACAAGCAATTCATCATAATGGCAAAACTAGGCTTGATTCGTCATCTTTTGTTTTTCGAGTTGATTTGCACTATCTACTTGTTGCAGGATTAAAAAATGTGGCTGTTTTTGGAGACACCAACTTAGAATTGCCTTCATTTCGGTCCAATCGGTCCGCTGTTGAAATCCACATTGATGCCGGATCTGACATCTTGTTTATGCAGAGCAGTGGAATGGAAATCAACATACTGCTTCCACTACATGCACGATATCAGGTAAGTGAAAGAAAATCACGTTTAAATTACTTTGTAATCGATGCAACTATCACTAGAGGCAAAATGCACTTGAATAGGGGTGTTGATTGTCGAATGAAGGTATTTGGTGAAAGTTCAGACATTTTCTTCATGTGTTTGCAGCCCCTTGATGAAAGTGGCTATTCTATTATCCAAATCGGTGAACCTGATATGCTGATGAGATGCAACATAGAAGGAAAGCAAGATAAGCAGAGTTGTTTGTTCATGTCACTCGAGGACAGTGCTAAATCCAGAATCAGTACCGTCGAATGGAAAATTCCTGCTGGAATGAAGGCACATACTGGATTTGTATCAGTTGTAACCTTTATTACAGCTTCTTTATCAACTGTCTCAATTGTATACACATCTATGTTTTGGTCGGGTACCAAAACATGAAATAACCTTAGCCAACATCAATTTATCCATTATAAGCTTTGTTATTATGAGACAGATTTCATATCTGTTTCTTAAAGATTTTGACCTCATTTCATCTTGAGTTTATTAATGTCTTCAGATCAATGGAGTTTATGGCAGTCCTTTAGAACCGAGTTTAATAATTACGGTACATTTGGTTCGCTGAAATGGAATAGAGTGGGAATTGATTACATGGTGTTAGTATTAGCTTACCATGACAATGCTGGCAATAAATCAATCTAGAATACCAGAAAAGTTGCATGTAAATGCATATATATTGAAAAACCGAGGAATTATAACTGTTATTACACGAAATGTCAAGAAAACAAAAGGAAGGACACAAAAAGCTGTAACACAACCTCAACAAACTCTAACACAAACACTAAAAGAAAATCTACACAAAGATCAACAAGATATCATTGGACGAGCTTCTCTTATCAGGCTGCAAGGACTATGACCACGATCAGAATCACAATTGCAAATATCACCAGGAGTAAGCAAGTCTGCACAAAAAGGGTGACGGCATTAATTCCTGGACCCGCAAGTCTGCACAAAAAGGGTGACGGCATTAATTCCTGGACCCGCAAAGCCTCAAACCAAATTCCACTATCCCAATTAAAAGGGGATAAAAAGATTGTATCTTTGTCGAGGTGAGACATTACATCCGGTGTGTATCAGTGTATAATTAGTAAAATTAAAACAGAAGAATCGTAACATTATACATTACCAGAGAAGAATTTGATCTCTGAGTCTTTGCAGCCTTCACAAGATGGGATTTTGCCTGTACAGTGGCAGCCCGTGAATTTTCAATATGGGTACCAATGTCATCTGCAGCATATTAACTTTCAGTACTTTTCAACATGACCCAGAAGATCAGAACAATCAAAGTGAACTCAATACAAAAGATGAAATTCTTTACCAATCATAGTTCCTTGCTCATGAACTAGCACAGCTAGATCTTTGAAGATCTCATTCACCTCACCAATTTGCTGCTGAATTTCTTGAATTCCTTGTTCTCTTTCTTCAATGATGGCCTCATTAAATGCAATCTCATTATCCAACAGCAGGACCTCCTGTCTGCAAAGAAAAATCGCACGTGGAAAAAGGCCGTAGTTCGATAAACAATTAATAAAAATCAACAATAAGATAATTTGAATATACAACACTGGATTGATGTATGGGAAAGAACGTGGTCAATCATCCTCCAGAAGTGTTTACCATTTAGAATCTAAAATTTTGTAATACAATGTATCAGTAGGGATCTTTTTTATTTATGATACTCCAATCTAAGATTAAACACAATAAAAACAGGCAAGCATGCATGTAAACACACACAGAGAAAATACCACGAAAAACTGGCATAGAGATTCATATAAGCCCAGAATCTACTTAGAAAACATGTACATGCTGCCAAATGAACATGAACTACAGCAGGAACAATGAAAAGAAATTTCAAAATACATGTCCAAATTCCAGAAGTGATCACCATATGAAAGGGATAAGAATTCATAAAGAACAAGTTACCTTCTTGATTCCACAAGAAGGGCTCGCTGTTCGGCACTTTTATCTGATCCCACGTCTATCTCACCAGCTGTGTAGCTGCATAAAACAGGAAGAAACCTCTAGTGAGAATATCGGTAACATGCAAAAGTATAACAGAAGGATAACCATCAAACAGTTCGATTTAAGACGAGTAAATGTAAGAAAATTCAGTAATCAATATGGATGTTTTATGAAGGATTTTCAGAACCATCTGAATGCCATGAACACAAAAGCATTCAAATCACTTATGCATCTAAGTACATGTAAACTCTCAGATGATAAATACCTTGAAGGAAGAACTGTTTGGGAAACAAAAGGAATGTATGCTGTTTCTCTTTCAGCAGCAAGCCGTTGAGCTTTCTGAAATTCTTTCAGAACTGCTTGAAAGTCTTTTGCAAGTTTGGCATCAGTTATCTTCTTGCTTGCCTACAATTACACAGATATAAAGGGCATCAAGTACTTCCAGAAGGGAAACGGGTTAGAGCAAGATAGAGGAGGGGTCAAGCGGTTATAAAAATAAGTTCAATAACCCATGTATGGATTACCATGAGATTGAAATATAGAACAAGAGAAACATCACGAACAACAGACAGTACAGTCATATGTCCTCTTTGTTGACTTAAAAAGTAAAAGAGAAGGCAGCATCGGTGAAAACCAAAATCATAACCAGAAAACAAACTTACACTAACTTCAGCACGATGATCTGTTTCACTAGCTTGTTTAAGTTTAGCCGAAGTGTCCTTCACTAATTGCCCAATATGTAACCTCGTTTTATGCCTGCCGAGTGAGATTTGTCAGGTTTACTCCCCACTCATAAATCTAATTACCATATAGCCAAAATCAATCAAGAAATGCGAAAGATAGCAATTCGTTGCCCATGCAATACAATGATGAGACAACTGAGTGAGCAAGAAATACAAAACCCAACATTATATATCAAAAAACATATATACTTATTCAGAGAATTCTGACATTCATCCAAACGACAACGATAATTCGGTGAGCTTTCTCATAAGTAAAGTCAAATTGCACTTGACAAAAGGCATTATTTGTCATCCCTAATTAAACACCCAAAAAAGAAAGATGTAATATAAAATTAAACCAACAATGTTATGTCCTTCGATTCAAAATCACAACAGGATCATATTTATATCCCGTGATCAGTTAAATAGCGATCGAAACAACTGAAATTGGGCAAAAACTCACAGCTTTTCTCGAAGCTCAGGCGTGTCCTTAGGATTCCGAGGGTATTGACGAGTCGCTGGAAGGTAGAGACGGCGGTGTTGATCTGGAAAATGCCGGAAGCCACTGCTTGGGTGGCATCTTGCTTGCCGTTGTTCAGATTTTGCCGCGTCGCCAATGGCCGTCCAGCTTCCAGATCTTGAAAGCTCATGATCCCTACTTCTCTATAAGTATTTTGATATAACCCCCAACTCGCTCGAGAAAATAAATTTCCTTGAGAAAATTAGTGGGAAAATGACAATAACATGCTAACCGAGCAGGCTGTTCGGCTACAGTTGGAGTAGATATAAAAAAACGGAATTTAATAACAGGGACCGTGACAGAGAAAAGGATAACATTTTTGACGTCTTTAAAGGAATATATGAAAATATAATCCTCAAACTTTAAAATATTTACAGTTTGATTCCTTTTTTTTGTCCACCTTCATCTATGAATTTAAAACACTTTTTCTATTTAGTCCTCGTATTTAGATTTCGTTTTTAAATTTAATGATAAATTGGAAAACATGTAAAGTTAATAATATTAATGTGAACCAAAAATATTGTACGGATTAAATTAAAAACTATAAAATTTAAATGTTAAATATTATTTTTACTCTTAACAATAATTTGATAAATATGAATTATTGTTAGGGATGTAAATGAATTGAGTTTGAACAAATAATGTTGTGTTTGTGTCCTTTTGTTTAGCTTTGCATATATTTATATTCGGTTTGTGTTCGTTAAATTTTTAATATCATGTTTGTGTTCGTTTGTTTATCTTTTAAGGTGTTTTGTTTGGGCATTTACAAATACATGCATTTAATGTTCACCGATATATTTTATCAACATATTCATTTAGTGTTCGCAAACATATTTATTTAATATTGACGAACATGTTCATCAAAATAATGAAATTATGCTATTAGTACTTAAACTTCTTATGTTTCACATATTAAACTATAAAGTTCATTATGCATTTTATTTAGTCTCTATCTTCATTAATATTTAAAATGTAAAAAATAAAATAAAAGGAATAGCCATGGAAAAGAGCTTATAAATGAGTTGATAAAAGAGCTTTCAAATGAACTTGTTCATGAATATAAATGGATACACTTTAATTTTGTTCATTCATGAATATAAATGAATACACTTTTATTTGTGTCCGTTCATAAATATAAATTGATATGTCTTAATTTGTGTTAGTTTATTTATTAAATTAATATAAAAAAATTATTCTTATTTATTTATTTAACTTAATAAATAAATATAAACAACGTTTTACGAAAAAGTCATGAGCCAAACACTATTTCATTTACACTCTTACTTATCGTGGTAAGTGGTTCGTTGAGAGATTTCTTTTATTGTTGTTGGCACGTGGATGATTAAAAATGATAAATTTATTAGTATTTAGAGTAAAGTACACAAATCGTCTCTTAATTGTAGCATACTGTTTTGTTAAGTTCTCAATTATTAAAGGTTATAAAATGATTCTTCGTCTATAGAGAGTTGGATTCAACTATTAAAAGTTACAAAATAGACACTCGACTATTCATTATGTTCCAAACTTGTCATTTTCCTTTTAAAAATGAACAATCGTTTGAGTTAGACGCTAACATGTTGATTGAGATATGATAATCATTTAAGATTATGATATCATTTTATTATATCTCAGTCAATAGATTAACGTCCAATTCAGACTATCGTTAAATTTTTAATGAAAAAGAAGAGATTGAAAAATAATGAATATTCAGATAATAATATTTATTATGCATTTTTGTCAGAAGCAATTGTTATTTATTATTATTTATGTTAAATCTTGTACTATATTTGTAGTTTAGTTAATTAATATATGTCGAGTTATTCATATGTGTTTTTGTGTGAATTCGATTTTCAAATTATTCTGATGTAATTATTACTTGATGATATTGTAGTCTTGTTGTTATTATAGGATAAAATAAATTTATTTGCTAAAATTGTGATTATTGAAATTTGTATTCAACTCTACTTCATAGAGTTTTTTTAATGAGAAAATTAATTAATTAATTAATTAATATCTTCGTGGATTTAGCTTTAGATTTATCTAATTTTTATTTAATTAAACTTAAAAGTTATGATGGTGGTAGATAATACAAATTAAAATATTTGTGAATACTTGACTTAATTTTATAGTTAAGATTTGAACAACATTTTTGTTTTAAATATTTTAGTTAAAACTCATCACAAATTTAAAATATATAAATATTATTATGTATATATGTATTACTTGAATATGAGAGATAAGATTGAAACATCATTATGTGCACGAAGAAAAGA